CCATCTTACTCCTTTTTTTTTTTTTTTAACGTTTCCTTATTTTGAGAGTGGGGGAGGGGCAGAGAGAAGGGAGAGAATCCCAAGCAGGCTCTGCGCTCTCAGCACAGAGTCTGACACAGGGCTCGAACTCACAAACTCAGATCATGACCTGAGCCAAAATCAAGAGTCGTGAGTTCGAGCCCTGCATTGGGCTCTGTACTGATGCCATGGAGCCTACTTGGGATTTTCTCTCTCCCTCTCTCTCTCTGCCCCTCCCCAATCATGCTCTCCCTCTCCCTCTCAAAATATATAAATAAACATTTTTTAAAAAATTAGGATTTGGATGCTTAACTGACTGAACCACCCAGGCGCCCCTATCTTACTCATTTTTAAATGGAGGTGTGAAATATAAGGCTGTGTATGGTTATGAATGAATATTAACTTTCATTCTGAGAACAATTGCCATCAGTCTGGCCAAAATTTCCCCAAATCGTTCTCTAAAATACTGGTCCTGCCACCATTTTCCTCCCTTCATCTGGTTTACTGATCCGCCAAGTCCATCCCTATGTATCACTTCTTAAAGAAGCTTTTCCAGGGCGTTCTGCACTAGATTGGGACTTCCTATTCTGTTCACATAACATGCTTTTTATTATAATGATAATTGATTAAAATCAGTTGGACTAAACTCCACGAGATTAAGTTCTGTTAGGACAGGTACCATATCTAGGTCTCTTTTAACAAGGTATCCCTAGCCCAGGGTTGGTTAAATGAAGTCTGACTTTAGGAGATAATGGCTTGTGAAGTAAAGAATTGTAGAAATAAAACAAAAAAATAACTGATTGCCACGAGAGAAACACCAAATAGTGTGCTTTGGAAATTTGAAGGAGAAAGAGATGGTCTAGGGTTGGTTCAGGGAGAAATGAGAGAGCAGGAGGCTGCTCCAGGAAACATTTGAGCCTGTGGTAGAACATCCAGGGAATGAAAGTAGCTTAATTTGCCAAGCATTATAAGATCCCTGAGGGGGAAGAGTGGACGAAAATGTCATAGACTAGAACCAGATCAGAGAAGGCCTTAAGAATTTGAATTAATTTGGTGGGAAACAGAGAACTATTGCACATTTTCAGACAGAGAAACAAGGCTTGCTCTAAAAAGATTAAGAACGACCAAGGTAGAAGGAAGTCATACAGACTTCGCTGAGATAACTTAGGGATTACTTCAGTAGTTTAGGGAAGAGCCCGGAAGAAGGTAACGGAAGTAGGGTTAGACGAGGGGTATGTATAAGGGTTTGGTGAGAGGTGGGCCTGTGATCTTAAACCAGGGCCTCATTTGAACAGTGGACGGTGTCTGCTCTATTCCAAGGCCTGTCATATTATGTATTTGACCTCATCAAATTCTTTTTTTTTTTTTTTAATGTTTGTTTATTTTTGAGAGAGACAGAGACAGAATGCGAGTGGGTTAGGGGCAGAGAGAGAGGGAGACACAGAATCCAAAGCAGGCTCCAGGCTCCAAGCTGTCAGCACAGAGCCTGGCGTGGGGCTCAAACTCACGAGCTGTGAGATCATGACCTAAGCCGAAATTGGCGCTTAACCGACTGAGCCACCCAGGAGCCCCAGACCCCATCAAATTCTTAGGCAACCTCTCTTTGTTTTTGAGGGGGAACTCTCTGTCTTAGGGAAAATAGGGTGAGTTAGGAGAAGTTCTCAGCCAGGTTCCAGAGTTGAGCTCAGATTGAGGCTGAGGAAAGACTTTTCTCCCCTAGGAGTAATCATGCAAGTAGTTACTTAGCTGGGTGACCCATTGTAGCAGCACTCTGCTTCTGCCAAGTCTAGAGACATTTCTCCTATCCTGATTCCACTTCTTAAAATTGCTCCTTGTGGGGCACCTGGGTGGCTCAGTCAGTTAAGCATCTGACTTCAGCTCAGGTCACGATCTCGCGGTCCATGAGTTCGAGCCCCGCATCGGGCTCTGGGCTGATGGCTCAGAGCCTGGAGCCTGCTTCCGATTCTGTGTCTCCCTCTCTCTCTGCCCCTCCCCTGTTCATGCTCTGTCTCTCTCTCTCTGTCTCAAAAATAAATAAACGTTAAAAAAATTAAAAAAAAATTGCTCCTTGTGCTTCCCTTTGATAAATGTCAAATGTTCTGCTACACCAGACACTGTTCCAGGCACTGCAGGAACAGACTCCAACAGAACAACAGCAGTCTTGCCTTCGTGGAGTTTCTATTCTTGCTGGGGAGAGGACTAGGGAAGGGGGTGTGACCAACAGTAAAAGAGGTAAGTAGAGGGTGCTGGTGGGCAGGCGAGCAATGGGAGGTAGAATGGATGGCTGGAGAAGGAAAGGTCTAAAGGAGGTGAGGGGACAGCAAATTTTGCAAGGGTGCCAAGCAGGTGTGTCCATGCCTGGCATGTTGACAGCAGGGGGGCCAGGGTCCCCACCCACATGTATTTTGTTTTGAGGCAATGCCAGAGAGATTAAAAAGTGGAACAGAAACCTGAAGGAGGTTTGTTTCCAGGCATAATCTGTCTTCCTGAACAAACGCCAAGACCTGTGTCAACTACACAGACACATCCTTTCCTACAGGGGCACTGGCTACATGGGCTCCACAAGTCATGCCCTGTCGACACGAAGTGGCTGTTCATCAAGAGCTGCCTGACAGGTGAGGGGATGCACATCACTGCCCTGGAAAACTGTATAAAGTGCCTTTTAAAGAGATGCACCAGGGAAGGCTTGTGAAAAGGATGAGGTTTAAAGAGGGAAATGTGCACATGACTAGAAAATCTAAGCACTGCTTCATCCACCAGTGCCCGGATGCGCCAGGGATACTTGCGCATAATGTCTACCCAGAACTGGGTTCCACGGCATGTGCTAGGCCTCCCACGTCCATAGCAGGGATTCCCTGCAGTCCCAGAAGACAGAGACTGGCCCAGGTTAGCTTTGAAGAAGAGTTCGTCCTAACTTTGCCTTGCACGTTGTAAGTGCCCCCAGACGTACATCTGTATAACCTCACTCACTGCAAGTCGAGATGTTTAGCAAGGAGGACGTATGCTCCAGGCAGAGGGAACCTCCATAGCCCCACCTTGTGTCACCGGAGTGCTCCTCTAACCATTACTCCTACCTGCTCAAGTGCTCCCCACCCCTCCCCAGGACCGCTACCAGACCCGGCCTGGAGGGGCCATGGGGCCCTGAGCCTCACCCCTGTAGCACTTGGGACCAAAAGCCCTTTCATGTTTGGTAAAAATGAGTGTGCTCCTAATTCAGCCCTACATCCCCCTTTTCACACGCCACCTTTTGCTGCCAGTAACAACCAGCATCCCAGAGCCAAAGTTTACCCCTCCTTTGCCTCTGTTTCCAGGCACCAGGTATAGGTTTTTCCTCAACTGGTTGATTCCCGTCCCACCTGGGCCCTGTCACTCACAGTCACAGGTTTATCCCAGCGCTTAATTTGTGTCAGTGGATTTTCCAGCTCCTCTCCCACCATAAAGTGCATGTTGGGCGCAGGGGCGGAGGAGATGAGCAGAGCCAGGAGCAAAGGAAAACCCAGCGGCTCAGCTCTTTCCAGCAACCCCAACCTCCAGTGGGAACCAGATGCCTCATCTGGCCCCAGCCAGCAGCAAAACACTCAACGATGTAGTTCCTACTAAACCCTGGAACACTGGCCGCCTCCCTCGTTCTCCCCACGCACCATGCCAACAGGCCATCTTTTAAGTGTGCTAAGTTGTATAACCTGTTCTCAGTGTAGACATGAAAGTGTGGTCCTTGCTTCCCATGAATTAAAGACACAACAGAAGAGGATTACTGATCCCAAGGAGAATGAAAAGTATCTGGGGGGGGGGGGAACAGGGGGGGTCAAGGCTGAATCCAATTCAGACTCCGTCCCAGATAATGTTAGTCTCGGGTCACAGGAACATGTGTGAACAAATATGCTTGCGTTTCCAGAGCCAAACACTCATCTTTGAGTAGCTGGGCTTTGACAAACTTTTCATGGAACATTCAGTTCTGCCTCTACCTTCTCAAGGTTTCTTTCTTCCCTCCTGTGGTAGACAACCAGACAGGACAGTGCCGTGTGCAGAGTCCGGAGATTCGGAGCACAGCATATGGGCAAGTGACACAACTTTCCCTCAGCCTCACTTTCCTCCTGAGGTATTTGGAATCATCACTTGTACGGCAAGTGCCTAGAACAGGCCTGGCCCATAGCAAGAAGTCAGTATCCTCAGAATGAATAAATGAGGTATAAATGTACATACCATGAAAATGGGTCCAAAAGAATAGCATTCTTTATAGTTATAGTTAATTGTAAAAAAAAACCAAGTATAATATGAACCTCAGCACACTTCCTACCTCTGTCATTTTCACTCTCAGGAATGAAGGAACTCCTCATCGTGAGCTGTTCACGGACACGTCAAGCTCTTCATCAGCTTCCCCAGCACCTGATGTGAACATGACCGAAAAGCTAGCATGTAGTAAAGAAAGCCAGAAGGGGTTAAAAATATTTAACCTTGGAGAAGAAAAGCTTCAAAGATGTGAAATGTTCCCAGATACATTAAATGGGATGAAATCCGTGCTCTGGAAAGGTGATCTGGGGAGCTTCTTAGGGCCCCGAGAAGAGAGAAAAGAAAATGCTCAGTTCCCCTTAGCAGTGACCATGATCCCAAATCTCTCTGGTTTCCCATAAACCTGCTCCAGCCTAGGAATCTGCCAAAGACTCCCGCCTGTTTCCAACCCTTAACACACTCCAAGATCATATAAATGAGGCTTGCTCCACATGCAGAGATAGGCCATCCAGTTCAGGAGCTCAGGAAATACTTGTGGGTCTTGAAAGTGCCTGCCAGCCTCTGTAAAGTGTGGTGCGTTCTCCCAGGGTGTGCAGAAAACAGCTGGCAAACAGCCATTGCCTATGGGTCACACCTTAAGGTGACGGGTCGGGAAGAGAAAAGGAAAGGGCCTTCACAGTGATACCCAAACCTAGCGTTTCCACACAGAAGGACGCAGGAGTTCTACATCCATGCTTCGCCAAGGCTCACCATTAACTGGACGGGAGGAACGTCATGGAGAAAGGTGAACCACCCAAAACTTCCTTCTGGACCTCTACGCCTGACCTTTCAGCAACTGATCTAATGAAAAGCGGTGTGTGAGCGCCCCCTACTGCTCTTACCTAGAATAAGACCCAGAGCAAGGATTCAAAACAATCTAACCCTAACCTAAACTTAACAAAATACTTTTAAACCAAATTAAAAGACTTTTGTCTAAAATACCCAGTGAAACAGTCCAAACTGCTAGCCACTCATTTATTTTTCAAAAGCCTTTGAACTAGAACAAAACACAATTATCTTTACAGCTCTGGTTGCTATATTCCTCCGGATCTCAGCGAAAATCTGCCATCAGTGATCCAGAAATATTTCCACCCTGCCAGAAGCTCAATTTGTGGATCTTTTTTTGAGATGGAAAAATCTGAGCAAGGGGTATTTCCCTGGGCTCAGCAGGGCCCAGTACATGTTCCACAGCCCAACAGAATTTCTATCCATCTTCCTTTCCACTCACTGCTCCAAGCTAAGGTACCCACATCACTGTGGGCTTCTGCTGCCCTTTGCTTAAGCTTCCGCCAAATGCAACCAGCATTTAGCAGAAATGCATGGCTTAGGGAAGCAAGATGGGGGGCAAAGGTGGATCTTTCTGAATCTCAGGTCAAAACTCATAGTTCTGCCCATGGCCAACGACTCAAGGAAACATGTTCTCCCTCCAGTCCACATTGGCCTCAGGCACAGGAATAAGAGAAAGCAGATGGTTTGGCCCCTGAGAAAGGGAAATGCCCAGGGGCTATTGGGGGTAGCCAAAGAAATAGGAATGGGAAGGATTTTGAAATGCTGAAGGAGCCATTCCAGAGTCCAGCTAGTGAAAGTTCATTTTAGCCTTTTCCACGGTGGTGCCTAAGCCAGTGAGTTTATTACCTGGCAAGAGAGGTACTGGACCCAGCATCTCAAAGCTTCAGGTGGAGAGTACCTTGGTTCCAGAAGGCAGTACGGGATTAAGTGCACAGGCTTAAGGCCAGCAACTGGGGTTGCACCCTTCATCTTCACTGAGGAAACCTGAGCAAGATACAGTGCACCTCCAGGCTCAGTTTCCTCTCCTGCAAGTGGGAGTGATAGAATACACATCACAGGACTGCGATGAGCGTGCAGTTAGGTGACATAGATAAGACATTGGGCACATGCTGCTGGTTGTCACTGACACTTCTATGTCACTGGAGCAGATCCACCAGATCCTACACAGAGCCAACATCCAGCAGGGGAAAGACAGCAAGATAACTTCAAACACCCTTTGGCGAGGCAGGTGTACAAAGACAGGTGGAGGAACAGCGACTTCCTCGTCACCAGAAGCCTGTCTCTGGGCTACAGCAGGTTGGCCCAGATGACCTTTAAGGTTCTTTCCAACTGTGAGGCTGAAGGGTGGGATTCTTCCAGGATGCCCTGCAGGCCATCGTTAGCCCAGGAAGTAGTTCCCACTGAGCAACTGAGGGATCATGGAAAAGTCCTGGCTCAAACTGGAAAGGCCCCAGGCACAGGCTCCTTTCCCCTGCCCGGGCAGGTAGCCAGACCCTGTGACCTCACACCTACTAGGAATGTGAACCGCCCCAGGCCCTGGACTTGCCTCAGGACCCTCAAGACTGGCTTCCTACATGTCCCCCTCCTACATCAATCAACTGCCCTCTCCTTGGTCACAAATGGCAGAGTGGCCCCCAGAGAAAGCTTGTTGAATTAATGACTTCCTTCTTCATCCTTTCCTCTGGCTTACATAAATAAGCTTGTTACCATTTTTGGTGCAAGTCACAGGCTTCAAAGATCTCATTTTTTTCTAGTCTGTTTCTGTACATTTCTCCAGTCCTAATAGGCATTTGGACAGAATTCATATCATGAAATTCAAAGAGGTATCCAATGCCATTTATTTTGGGAGCTGTTCTCTGAATATACTTCTTTGTGGAGAGAGAGCTTCTCTACCGTTCTCTGCTGGACCTCGCTCGTCCTCCCCTGCCCCCAGCCTCCCTCTCCCAGTACCCCCCACCCCCCACCACACACACACCACCGTGTTCTCGCAGCTCTCTGGAAAAAGAGCACAGGCTACGGATGGAAGAATTTCTTTTTTGAGTTAAGCAAGTCCATATGAAGTTCCAGAGGAGAGGTCTGGCACAGACACTGAGTTATTCTTGATCATAAGGGTGTGGGGCAGGGAAAGAGTGATGACCTCCAAGGTGAAGGACGTGTGTGGCGGAAGGGAAGCAAGAGAGCCAAGGGGAAGGGAAAGTTAGGTTTACATCCCTGGAAATTACACACATGCCTCCTCCTTTTGGAAGATTCTGAGACAATGGAACAGACAGACCATGGAATGGATTCCGCTGAAGCCTGGAAACAATGCTGGATAGTACTTTTCAGGAAACAATCGGAGGTGAGGGATAGAATAAATAGTCTGAAGCTGCAGACAGAGAGGATGATCGAACGTGGGACTATACCACCCCTCTCGAGAAGAAAAGGAGGGAAGCAGGCCCTCTCTGACCACCAAAGCAGTTAACGTGACAGATAAGTGGCAGGGAACAGCCAGGACATAAAATCTAGACAGAGGCCCCCCCTTTACGTGCAGCTGGTGCCCAGGGCTCAATCCTGCCTTTCCCGATGCGCCCATGGCGGCTCCCTCTCATCTTCTGTCTCTGCCACCAGCTCAGAAGGGCTCTTCCCCAGGGGAGCCAGGCCACCAGCTGGGTGGCGAGAACCTGTGCCACCCCACAAGCCCAAAACAATGGCCAATTGCTCCCTGTTGTCAGTGCCAGTGTCTGTCACCTTGTGGAAGATGAGTTTGAACCATCTTCTAGGTAAAATGCCAAGATGTAAAAGCAGGTGACAAATATTCCCATTCCTGCTTTGGGGTTTGGGCTCTTCATTCACAGCGGTATTTGGTGGCTTTCCAAGCATCCTTCCTGATGATCGCCCTGAGGGTTCCCAGCCCAGTGACCAGGGACCTGCCCTGAGACAGTGGTTATCCCCCACCTTCTTCCAACAAACACTCTCCTCCCTTCCCTCTTTCAACCAACTGCCCTCACTGGGCAAATTGAGATAGGCTTGTGGCTAGGTGGAGCACAGGGACCTGATCGGCAGAGACGTTCCACCCAGGCTGGCAAAGCAGATGGGGCTGCATTACCAGCCCAGAGCAAACCCCCTGCCTGGAAATAGGCCGTGTGGCAGGAAGGGCTCATGACCAGGTTTGTCAGAATTCCCAAAAGAAATGGGACTCATGCAGCCTACCTTCATTCTGCGTGTTAAAATGTCCTTTCCTTATGAAATGATGGTGTGTGAATAATACAGTTCGTGGTGGGCCAGGGCCTAACAGTGCCGACTCTGGAGCCGGATCGCCAGCACTCAAATCCTAGATGCAACAGGTAGGTCCTAAATATGGGACCTGGGCCAGTGATTCAAACTATTGGTGCCCTGGTTTTCTGTCTGTACAATGGGAATGACCATAGGGTTGTGAAGTTTACATTAAATAAGACAAAGCACAAAGAACACTTAGAAGACGCTTTTCATTAAATGTGAGATGTGTTGGGCCCGTGCACTCTTACAAATTCACAGTTCCAAGAAATTCAAATGTCTGAGAACCACTGACTTAATTTCCTTTACATGTGGCCGCAGGTGCACAAAACACCCACCCACACCCACCCCCACCTCCACCCCAACCTGTGACTCCAAGCCTGGAAAGGCAAAAAGCATCATTTCATCCCTAAAGGGTTGAGGCCCCCTAAATTCATGCCTGTAGGCACCTCAGAGCCCCTGGGGAGGGAGAGTGTCCTGGGGTAACAACCAGGTAACATTCCTGTGACATACTCTACTTGGGACTTTCTTCCCTAAAACACACACCTTGCTCCTCCCCCCTAAATGTGTGTGTGTGTGTGTGTGCGTGTGTGTGTGTAAGAACACACTTTCCTATATGTCGCAGCTATCTACCAGCTGTGTTTAATTGGATGATATTTCACACTTGCTTGCTACCCTCAGTAATAACCCACCTCCTACCCATAGGTCACCTCTGTTCTCGAAAGCTGTCTTTTGACTCTTCCCTGGGAATGTATGTCCTCCTGGGCCCAACGTCTGAGAGCCAGGGTCCTGACTGCAGATTAGGGGGATGGGGGTACCAAAGGGGCAGAAGGACTAACCAGGAAAGGCTTGGTGCTGGGGCCTCTTGATACTCACCCTAAAAAAGGACACCAATTATATTGCACTAAACACCAACTGAAAAGCAGGAAGACCGCCTTCTGAGAACATTGGACCTGGGGTCCTTTCCTATCCCACCTCAGGCAACCCCAGAAGGCAGCACACAGGCCCCTTGTGACTGTAACATGCCCCGCCCCCTCTGGGTGGTCTGCAGCCCAGAAGGGAAATCCTGTGCTGCCCCCTGATGGCTGCACAACTTCCCTCCTGGCCCTGTGGGTTCTGCGGCTCTGAGTCTCCCCCAACTTCCTAACTGGGCCCTTTCCGTGTCTATAATAAAGTCCATCCTAAGTAATCCAAATGTACTGTTATTTCTGCAGAATCTACATCTGGATCAGACTCCCGGCCCATGCAGTTGAATTAAACCATTCACTAAGCTTTAGTTCAAATGTTTTTGATTGGTGGCTAAAACAATAGAGAGTCAGGGTAGTTGGCAGGAAACCAAAGAGATGGATCTGTGGACTAAGGAGCCTCAGAGTGATGAGTCTGACTTCCCGTTACTTAAGGATTCTTAGGCCATTCTTATCTCCAGTCAGGAGTAAATGGATTTGCTTCCACGGTCTTTTGAAAAGAACTGACAACTTCATCGAGCTTCCAGGCATCAAATGTTTGAGGTTACTAAGACCCCAGCAGGAGTGGAGGACATACTTGTACACCACTGCCCTGGGCATTGGGCAGGGGGCACTCGGTGAGGCTGATGCTGTTACCCGTGGACACCCTGCTAAAATGGTGGCCCTCAAACTTCAGGGTCATAGAATCATCTGGAACACTTGCTAATACACAGACTCCAGGGCCCTGCCCCAAAGTTTCAGATGCAGGAGGTCTGGGTGCAGCATGAGCCTTCCCGGGTGGTGTGGCTGCTCCCGGCAAAGGGGTCACACTGTGGGAACACACTCATAGATGATGTGCCCAGTACCACCCTCCCGCCCCTGAGACTCCTGGAGAGGAGTCCTACCAGTATTTTTAACCCACTCCCCAGGTGGAAAACAGTGGGGCTGAGGAACCACAGTAAACTGGAACAGGGGGTTACAGAGAGACACTGGGCCCTTAGGGGACAAAGGCACTTGCAGAGTGAAGTCTTCTGATGACCCTGCCTGCATTTCTGACCCTGGGAAGGAGTGTGCAAGACCATGTTAGGCCATGGTGGGAGAATGAGGATGCTGTGGTCTGGCACAGGCCAGGCTGGCCTCCCCGAACCCTACTGTGCAGGGAACCACTTCTATAGCTGAGCCAAGGCTGCGGCCTGAGGGGCATGCGTACTTGGGAAGCAGAGCACAGGTGAGGCCTCTCCCTGAATGTCAGCTATTTACAACCTGGCACCACCTGCACAGCGGTCTTCCAAGAACATCTTCTTTCCTCTACCTGTCGCACGTTGGTAAAAATGGATGCTCTTTCCCTTCCCTAGAAGGAAAACCCAACAGGCATGCCTGCACAGGTGTCAAGACAAAACCTCTCCTCCTTCCAAAGGGTAAAACACTCAGGCTAAAATCCAAGGGGCAGCTCGTCTCCTCCATGAAGTCTGTCCAGATCGCTCCAGACTGTATCTTCCTCCCTTTGGTTCCCAAAACTCATGGAGGGCAAAGACAAATAGGTATTAACAATATTAACAAATAGGTATTAGCATCTTCTAGGAGCCAGGCCTAAGCCAGGCATACGGTGATGAGCAAACACTGCCCTGTCTTTGTTCACGACACTGACCATCTGATTTCTCTTCCTAGGACCCTCCTTTCCCCCAGCCCCAGCTTGTATAGTGCCTTGGCATACAGAAGGTCCTCCAGTGTCCCTTCGGGAACTCCCTAAGCCCTCCCTAGATCACTGATGCTGTCCCTCTGTGTCACTCCAAGCAAGGAGAGAGAGAATATTTTAAATTAATAAGTATGTAAAAGTCAAAGAAGGTGCACTGGAGATGTGAGAACCCTTAAGCAAGGCATCATCCCTTCTGCTAGGCTCAGGGACCACCCGCTCAGACCACACTGGACAGCCTCGAGTTCATGCACACTCTCATGTCTGCATGTACAAGCACGCACACACACACGTGCATACACACACCTCATCTGACCACCTCCCCACCTAAGGGAAAGCCCTACTTCCTCTTTTCATCTGGGGACACAGCGCCTCCCTCTCCTAGGGTGCCCAGGTTGGGCCACAAACCCTTCCCACCTCATACCTCACTCCTAGCCCCCTCTCTGTCGTATACACCACCTTTCAGGGCACCAGGCCCTGCTCTCAGAAGCAAAACATAGCCCCTTGCTGACCTCTGCTCTTGGTCTGATTTCAGGGTCTGTGCTGAATGGAATTTAAACCCAGTTTCTTGCAGCTGGGGTTAGGAGGAAGGAGGAAGGAGAGCCCATCAACTCCAGGAAGAAAAATATTTACCTAAAAACAAAGTTTACTCATACACACAAACTCACACACTG